GTAATTGTATGGTTTTGAATGAATTTCTTGTCTCCGTTTCTAACAGGATTGTGCTGTGGTTTGAGAGACTGTTACGATTTCAGTTATTTTGCATTTGATGAGGAGTGTTTTACTTCTGATTATGTGATTGATTTTAGAGAATATGATATGTGGCAATGAGAAGAATGTATATTCTATTGGTTTAGGTGGAGGACTCTGTATATATATATATATATATATCAGGACCATTTAATCCAGTGCTGATGTCAGGTCCTGAATATCTTTATCAATTTTCTGTCTTTATGATCTGTCCCATATTGTCAGTGGGGTGTTGTAAAGTCTCCTACTATTATTGTGTGGGAATCTGTCTTGTTGAATGTCTCTAAGAACTTGCTTTATGAATTCGGGTGCTCCTGCATTGGGTGAATATATATTTAAGATAGATCTTCTGTTGAATTGAACCCTTTACCATTATGCAATGCCTTCTTTATCTTTTTCTTTTTTGTCGGTTTAAAGTCTGTATCATCAGAAAGTAGGATTGCAACCCCTGGTTTGTTTGTTTGTGTGGTTTTTTTTTTTTTTTTTTTGGCTTTTTTATTTAATTGGTTGATTTTTCTCCATCAGTTAACTTTGAGCCTGTGTGTTATTGCATATGAGATGGATCTCTTAAAGACAGCACACCAATAGGTCTTGGTTTTTTTTATCCAGCTTTCCACTCTGTGTCTTTTAACTGGCGCATTTAGCCTGTTTACATTTAAGGTTAATATTGTTATGCGTGAATTTGATCCTGCCATTTTGATACTAGCTGGTTGTTTTGCCCATGAATTGATGCAGTTTCTTCATTGTGTCAATGGTCTTTATAATTTTGTACATTTTTCCAGTGGCTGGTACTGGTTGTTCCTTTCCATGTTTAGTGCTTCCTTCAGGAGCTCGTGTAAGGCAGGCCTGGTGGTGACGAAATCTCTCAGCAATTGCTTATCCATAAAGGATTTATTTCTTCTTCATTTATGAAGCTTACTTTGGCTGGATATGAAATTCTGGGTTGAAAGTTCTTTTCTTTAAGGATGTTGAATATTGGCCCCCACTCTCTTCTAACTTGGAGGGTTTCTGCCAAGAGATCCGCTGTGAGTCTGATGGGCTTCCCTTTGTGGGTAATCCTATCTTTCTCTCTGGCTGCCCTTAGCATTTTTTTCCTTCATTTCAACCCTGGTGAAACTGGCAATTATGTGCCTTGAGGTTGCTCTTCTTGAGGAATGTCTTTGTGGCATTCTCTGTATTTCCTGGATTTGAATATTGGCCTGCCTTGCTAGGTTGGGGAAGTTCTTCTAGATAATATCATGAAGAGTGTTTTCCAGCTTGGATTCATTCTCCCCATCACATTTAGGTACACTGATCTAACATAGATTAGGTCTTTTCACATAATCCCATATTTCTTGGAGGATTTGTTCATTTCTTTTTCCCCTTTTTTCTCTAATCTTGCCTTCTCATTTTATTTCATTGAGTTGATCTTCAATCTCTGATATCCTTTCTTCTACTTGATTGATTCGGCTATTGAAACTTGTGCATGCTTCATGAAGTTCTCATGCTGTGTTTTTCAGCTTCAATAAGTCATTTATGTTCTTCTCTATGCTGGTTATTCTAGTTAGCATTTTGTCTAACCTTTTTTCAAGGTTCTTAGTTTTTTTGCATTGGGTTAGAACATGTTCCTTTAGCTCAGAGAATTTTGTGTTACCCACCTTCTGAAGTCTGCTTCTGTCAATTTGTCATTCTCCATCCAGTTTTGTTTCCTCGCTGGTGAGGAGGTGTGATCCTTGGAGGAGGAGAGGGGTTCTGTTTTTTTTGTGATTTCCTTTTTGCACTGGTTTCTTCCCATCTTCATGGATTTATCTACCTTTGATCTTTGAAGTTGGTGACTTTCAGATGGGGTTACTGTGTGAATGTGCTTTCTGTTGATGTTAAAGCTATTTCTTTCTGTATTTTAGCTTTCCTTCTAACAGTCAGGCCCCTCTGCTGCAGGACTGCTGGAAGTCCACTCCAGATCCTGCTTGCCTTGGAATCACCTGCAGGGGCTGCAGAACAGCAAGGATTGCTGCCTGTTCTTTCCTCTGGTAGCTTCATCCCAGAAGGGTACCCGCCAGATGTCAGCCAGAACTCTCCTGTATGAGGTGCCTTTTTGGATATATGAGGGTCAGGGAGCCACTTGAGGAGGCAGTCTGTCCCTTATCAGAGCTCAAGTACTGTGCTGGGATCTCCATTGCTCCCTTTAGAGCTGCTAGGCAGGGACATTTAAGTCTGCTGCAGCAAAACTTACAACCACCCTTTTTCTCAGTTGCTCTGTCCCAGGAAGGTGGGGCTTTATTTATAAGTCCCTGATGGGCTGCTGCCTTTTTTCAGAGATTCACTGCCCAGCAATGAGGGAGTCTAGTCACAGTCTGCCTGCAGAGGCACTTCTGAGCTGCGTGGGCTCCATACAGCTGCTGTGTAAATTTCTTTGCAATTTTGTTTACATAGATAAGGTTAGAACTGCTTCAGCAATGGTGGACACCCTTCCCCCCACCAAGCTCGACCATCCCAGGCCAAGCTCAAACTGCTGTGCTGGCTGCTAAAATCTCAATTCAGAGGGTCTCAGTTTGCTGGGCTTTTTGGGGGTGGGACTGACCTGCCGAGCCAGCTCACTTGGCTCCCTGCCTTCAGCTCCCCTTTTTTCAGGGGAATGGGCAGATCTGTCTTGTAGGCATTCCAGGCACCAGCTAAAATGGCCACTCAGATTTGTGCTGGAAATCTGTGGTGCTTGTTATCCCAGTGGGAATCTCCTGGTCTGTGGGCTGTAAAGACTGTGGTAGAAGCACAGTATCTGAACCAGAGTACTGGAGTGGCTGGAAAAGTCCCCAATGGCCTCTGTGGGGTAGGAGTAGGGGGTCTTCTGGTCTGTTACACTTCTCAGGTGAGGCAGCGCCCCACCCTGCCTCGGTTTGTCCTCCTTGGGCTACACTCAATGTCCAACCAGTCCCATTGAGATGAACCTGGTACCTCAGTTGGAAATGCAGAGATCACTCGCCTTCTCTGTTGCTCTCACTGGGAATTGTGCTCCAGAGCTGTTCCTATTCAGCCATGTTGGCAGAAGTCTCTTCAGTGTGTTTTTGTAATGGCTGGTGATGGTCTTTCCTTTCCGTATTTAGTGCTTCTTTCAGGAGCTCTTGTAAGGTGGGTCTAGTGGTAATGAATTCCCTCAGCATTTGCCTGTCTGAAGAGAGATCTTATTTCTCCTTTACTTCTGAAGTTTAGTTTGAAATATGAAATTCTGGGTTAGAATTTCTTCTATTTAAGAATCTTAATTATTGGTCCCCAATCTCTTTTTCCTTGTAGGGGCTTCAGCTGAGAGGCCCACTGTTACTCTGATGGGCTTCTTTTTGTAGGTAACCTGGCCTTTCTCTCTAGCTGCATTTAACATTTTTTCTATTATTCAACCTTGGAGAACCAGGTTATTATGGGTCTTGAGGATGATCTTCTTGTGAAGTATCTTACTGGAACTCAGCATTTCCTGAATTTGAATGTTGGCCTCTGTAGCTGAGTTGGGAAACTTCTTATGGAAGATATCTTGAAATATGATTTCCAAGTTGGTTCCATTCTCCCAATCTCATTCAGATACATCAATTAGTTGTAGATTCAGTCTCCTCTGTTTTTTTTATTCTTTTTTCTCTATTCTTATCTAACTGTCTTATTTCACAAAAGCAGTCTGCAAGCTGACATTCTTTCTTCTGCTTATTCTGCTTGTAATACTTGTGATTGCATTATGAAATTCTTGTAGTATGTTTTTCAGCTCTATCAGGTCAGTTACATTATACTCTATACTGGCTCTTTTTTCTGTCAGCTCCTTTATTCCTATCCATATTCTGAATTCTGCTTCTGTCATGTCAGCCATCACTACTGAGTTTTTATTTTCTAAACCAATAACCCATGAGCAGGACATAGCAATGAATCATTGCCTGGTAGTTATTCATGTTCCTGGCCATCCTTGCCTCAACAAGTATTGTGTAAACAGAAATATTACAAAAATATCTTTCCCAATAGAAGAAAATGTTTGAGTAGATATCCTTAATTGTGATCTATATTTATATGTACATCCCTAGAAAGAAATTTGTGATGAAGTTTCAGATGGTTTTCATTGTTGCAGGTGACATTGATGACAGGAAGGGACAGCAAATTTAATTCTATACATTTCTAAGAAATGCATGATTGCTCCAGTTAAAAACATAAAGGCAAAATGAAAAATTTACATCTTGTCCTGTGCTCTCTTTCTTCTATTTACTTTACAAACCCTAATGTATGGTTAACTATACCCCTTCCCTTAACAAGACCAGCTCAGTGGAGGAGGCCTATTTGGTCTTTACCTCAGAGAGATAATTACAGATTTAATACACAGAGAAAGTTCAGATAGATAAAAAGATAAGTGTACTCCCTGTCAGGCTCATCCATTAGTTCATCTTATCTCTGTAACAACCATACATGGTAACATTGTTCCATTTACATAGATGAGCAAACTGAGGAAGATTTAGGTAAGTGACTTGTTAATATATCCAGTTTTGATCATAGATGGTATGACCAGAAATGAGTCTAGTCTCTATGAGACCTCAAGCATACATCAATTATTTCAGGGTCTTTAGGAAAAAGAACACATTATGAATTAACACTTGTTATTCCCTTACTAGGACCTTGTCAGGCATCTGTACAAGTGATGGTTCCTTATGCTTCAGCATCAGGAGCTCCAAGATAAATTTGCTGAATAAGAAGGATGTCAATATGACTCCAAGTGTTTATTCCCACCAGTGAATGTGTAGTGCATAGAGGGTCATCCTTACATTTTCCTGGTGATGGCACAAGAGAATGTAAGCTTTTATTTCCTGGAATAACCAAACAAGAGGTGGATACTAGCTTGGAGAGAAAGGCATCTCAAAATGAATGTTATGTGAAAAAATGAATAAGTAGTGGTTGGCTGCATCTCTGTCCTCTTGTTTGCTCAGGTGGCTGGCAGAGTCTGCTCGGTGGCTCATTATTAACAACAAACCGGAGCAAGGCTTAAAGGAGCTTAGAAAAACTGCACACGGGAATGGAATCAAGAATGCTGAAGACATCCTAACCATGGAGGTGAGCAGGGTGAGAGCTAGATATGGGATGTTGGGAAGACATAACTTGTCATTTATACTTGTCAGTGTTCATAAGGTGAATAAGGGAGAGAAACACAAACATAGTTAGTTATGAGTTGTCTCATCTCACTATCATTCTCAATGGGTATCAACACTGGGTTAACATATTGAAAGAGAATATGCTGTTGCTGAAAGGATGGGACACAGATATTTGAGTCAACAGAGACAGAGGCACAGAGTATTAACAATACAAATTTTGCGTTGGACTGCCTCTAACTCTATAATAGAAAGTAACCTAAACTAGTTCATTCATTCCCAGTTATTATTCTGTTACCTTCTTTCAGGGTAGTAAGGACAGAGAAAGGAAGTGTTAGTGGGCAAACAGAAGAGAACATAAGGAGGTTCGCTTATTTGTTCACTCTGTCATACATTCTTCCATTCAAGATCTATTTAGTGAGTGCCTACCTATTCCAGATTCCATTCTTTCTTGGAAATATGACAGTGCCAACACCAGTCCAAATCTATATTTGTGTTGAGTTTCTTCTACTAACTACAAGTTTGTAAAGCATGACTAAGTGAAAATGCCTGGGAGAAGTCTTTCCCTTTTTCCACCCCAGAGATTGAAGACAAATACTGCTGTTGATTATTAAGTCATGCTCCATGTCATGAACACATTTAAAGTATTTGTTGAAAAAATATAGTATGCCACAAATGGTATTAGATCATGAATGACAGAGTAAATCATGGTTACAGCCTGAATGAAGCTTTTACTTTAATATGAAAGAGGAGAGTTAATGGACATATTTAAATCTAAGTGTTGGAAACCATAAAGGTATAGAAAGAATGTTAATGAAGACAAGAAAAATACATTTTACTTTATTTGACTGAAACAGAAGAGGACTAGGAGCTAGTCAATCAGAGAGAAGGAATAAAACATCTCTTAAGACATGGTCAATGATGTATCTGATGGAACTTAGTCCCAGAAGAAAGCAGAGGTCTTTTGGAAGGAGATTTCAAATAAGAAGCCTGAAAATGTTCTTGCAAGTTAATGTTCAACTGATGATGGCAGGAAGAAATAAATATTTTACCAAAGATCAATCCATTACAGAGATAATATCACAGGGCACCCCAATATAATGGTGCAAATATTCACATAGCTTTTTTAAGAAAAGGAAATGAAGTTAGATGAAACTGAACGTCATTTCTAGACTGCATCTATATATATATATCAAAGTAATTCTTTTGGGGCAACTAAATTCTCAGGTACTACCTGTGGTTTTACACACACACCTAGCATGTGACCTACAAGGTTCGCCCAATATAGAGAATGAAAGCTATTCTTACAAAAGTTCAGGGAGACTAAAGAAAACAACAACAACAGCTAAGTGTTATGAAAAACAATGGAATCAAAAAAATAACAATGCATTATCAAAGTGAATGGAAACTGACTGTCCCCTCAACACCCAGAAGAAGAAGGAGAGTGTTCCTCAAAAGGAGAAATTGAAATTTGGTTTAGGAAGCAGATTCTATGCATTAATGGGTACCTAATGTTGTGTTAACTTGTTTTTTTTTTATTTTGTAAGTATTATCCATATATGTGTGGTCTTATTCCTGTTTAAACCTTCTGACAGACTGCCTAACAAAACTGCTCTTGGCAACACTTCTAGCCTAATGCCAATCCACTTTATATCAATATCAATCCATTGATCAGTCAGTTTTAGGGGTCAGGGAGCCCAATACATAGCATTCATCTCCTATGCCCAAATCACACATAACTGAGAGATAGTTAAAGGGTTCAGAAACATGGAGATCAAAAATTTTAGCCTTTATAATACTGTGAAAACTGGAATAGAAGACATGACTTTACATACCTACCCTCAACAGGATTTCTAACACTTCATCCCAGAATCAACCTCATTCAACAGTCAAAGGTTTTCCCACAGGTGCAGAGCCTAACCTGACAAATATAGGATGTTGCCCAGAAGGCAGATTTCAATGCAATCTCTTTATAAAGGTGTTCTGAACACTACAGCATGCCCATTTCATTCTCTTACACTCACCAACAATTGCATAGTCTTCCAAGGGAAGCTGAGTGGTATGTAGAGAGGGGTCAAGATCATCCCTGTTGAAACTTGTTCCTCATGGAAGCATAAGGGTTAGGAAGAAAGTACCCCACTCCCAAGCCTCCAGTATTTCTGAGACAAGAAGTGAATTAAATTCTTTCAAGAAATTTATCTCTTTCCTGAGACAGACAAACTGTTTTTCACCAAGGGCAGTTCAGCTGAGAAAAACTGAGCTGACAACCAGGTCTTTGGGGCCCATCTGGTATAAAGGGAGCTTGGGACTATGATCCAAGTAACTTCAATTTTTTCCCCATCATGATCTGAATCTCTAACCTACATATCCTTTTCAATGCTCTGCTGCCAATTAAATCTCGTCTAAAATAGCCTTGATACATAATTTCCCTGAGGCTTAACACTCTAATCCAACTTTCATATCATTTTAAATTTGCCATTGCAATTTTAAGGTATGTATTTTCTCCTAGATAGAAAGGTGTGTCATCTATCATGTCATCTGTTGGCTGACAAGTCCTCTTACAATGCCTACCATGTTGTGACAGCCGAACAATTTGTTGCTTCTGCTGTTGTTGAAGGTTTTGAGATCCACCATGAAGCAAGAACTAGAGGAAGCACAGAAAAAATATTCTCTTGGTGAATTGTTCCACATGCCCAATATATGTAAAAGAATCTGTATCCTGTCCTTTTGGAGGTAAGTTTCATGCAGTGTGTGAGGAATGTTAGAGGAGCTATAAATCCATTTCTTATTTTAAGTGGTAAAACATGTTGAAGGGAAAGATTTTGGGGATAAAATATGATAAATCCATAAAGAAAACTGCTATTTTTAAAGGTGGAAAAAGGGTTGTGAAAAGATTGACACAAAATTAATTGTACAATGATTTCTGTTTATAACATCATTCTACAAAGCTGATCACTAGAGACTTATGCTGAGAACTTCAATTACGGTATAGGTTTGGGCTCAAAGTTTCTTCATTTGTTTTCATTTTAATTTATGTAAATTGTAAACAGCAAATTATAAGAATGTATACAGATCAATGAATATTTCCATTTATTAATATCTAACCACCACTCAGATCAAAGTACAGAAAAAACTCTAAAACACTAGGAGATGATCACATGTTTAGCAGAATGACATAACAGAAAATTCTACCCCTTAATCCCACACAGAAACACTGATTTACCAATGACTGGACAAAAATACTTCCATGGGAATTCCAAAATTGAGGTAAGACATTGTAATGCCCAGTTGAGCATGAAACCAAAAACAGGCATTGAAATGGGCAAGAAGAGTAATGTCAGTTAATACATGACAGACCCTTCCTAAAGTTGTTACAGCTCATGCCAAGAGAAGACACCCTGGTCTATGACTTTTCCCTCAGAGGGAAGGAGAGAGTAGAGCATTCATCCACACCTTGGCCTTTGGACACACTGTGTGAAGAACAGGTGTCTGTCTCCCCTCACCCAGAGCACTGATGGAACTGGCATATTTGGATGCCTGGGGTCACTGAAGACAAAGTGAGTACAAAAGCTGTGACTTACACAGCTCAGTGTAATGAAAAGAAGATACACAACTTGAGATTTCTCCCTCTGGAGGAAGAGGAGTTCAGTATGTGTCTGATACACTGATCTTCCAGGGAGATGCCCAAGAAATTAGTTTCTTTCTTTCCCAACCATTATGCAAGTAGGACCCCACACACTCTACATGTCTCAGAACTACTGAGAACAAAGAATATCTGGATGTCAAGATGATGCATCAGAGGACTCATGGTATGGCAGAGACAAAGCAAGAGATTACCCGTTCCTGAAAATCAGAAACCAGGAAATCCAACTAATTAGGAATCTACACACAACAAATACAGAGAAGACACTTTCTTTTTTTTTTTTTTTTTTTTTTT